GCTCATCAGCACAGTGCACCGATGATGAGCTTCCACATACCAAGAATATATATACTATAGAAGACAGTGTGGTGGATGTGGGACACTACAGAACTTTATATACTACACATTATGCCTAAGCCTTTATGCGCACGCTCACTGCATATCACAGTTTAAAAACGGCGATAAAGCACATAAGTAAAGACATTGTAGCGCCCTTCAAGGAAAGCTCAAACAACGGCAACTGTGGACAGCTGTTTCGCCCTTTTTGGGGCTCATCAGCACAGTGCACCGATGATGAGCTTCAACATGTATATATATATATATATATATATATATATATATATATATATATATATATATATATATATATATATATATATATATATATATATATATATAGATATATATATAGTTTTCGTTTTACCTCAAAAAACCACAACAGTCTGTTTCAAAAAACCACAACAGTCTATTTTAAAACGAAAACTATATTACGCTCTATCTATATGGTATTGAGCACTGTTTGTGTTTCGTAAACCAAACAAGCTATATATATATATATATATATATATATATATATATATATATATATATATATATATATATATATATATATATATATATATATATATATATATATATATATATATATATATATATAGATATATATATATATATATATATATATATATATATATATATATATATATATATATATATATATATATATATATATGGCCTTTAGGTCATATTGAGCGCTCTACAGGATGAGCCATGCCGCTTACGCATTGCGCACGCTCACTGCTTGCAGTTTGAGCGCTCTGGCATGGTTTTGATGTCCCACAATCGTGAGGCATCAAAGGTAACTATAAATAAGAGTTACTTTCATCCTGCTCATCAGCACTACACCGATGAGGCCCATTAGGCCGAAACGGTACCGTCTGTAGTTAGATAGATAGATAGATATATATATATATATATATATATATATATATATATATATATATATATATATATATATATATATATATATATATATATATATATATATATATATATATATATATACATATCTGCTTCCGTTGGTAGGGATGCAACTGCCTGAAAATATATAAGGTGAATTTCGACGTTTCGAGCGAAGGCCCTGGAGTTACTGAAATTCACACATGCATGCACGTATGTAGGTTAGCCAGTGACAGACATAACCAGATTTGAGTAAAGGTAGGATAGGTAGCACATGTTGTGAATTAAGAATGTTTTCTGAGAGATTGAAGGACAAAGCCAACAGACGAGTTTTATCAGATAGATTGCATTTTACCCCGCCCTCCCAGATTTACGTCCTTGAGTCACTTCAATAATCGAGTAACCACACACTCCAACGAACATGAATATACAGTTAAACTTCGCCGCACAGGCTCCAAAAAAACTCCAAGACAATACATTTCCTTCTAAAAATAAGCCATTAATACGGCCACACTGTTAACACGTGGGCGTATTAACGAAGTTCTATACATATACATAAGTAATACGTCAAATTAAACACACGAGGCAAAGTTCATAAAATTTTATTTTTATACATTTACTGAACAATTTCGTGTGTATCATAACTTCTAAAACGAGTTAATTCAAGCCCAGACTTGTCAGACGACGATAGGTTTTGATTTCATCCTTCTGAATTTGTAATGAATTTGATAAGCTATAATTAAGATACCACAAAGTTAGGTATGTATCAGTTCTACATGACAGGAACATTCTTTTAGTGCTTCTGAATTTTACGAAACGATAAGAAACTTTATTATGTCACTCTTACTGTGATATATAAAAAATGCCAATTAAGTTAGCATTTTCTGTCCATTTTCAACAACAACAACAACAACAACAACAACTTTTATTGTACTTCAAAGTATTACAATCTTACATATATTGAAAAAAAAGACAAATAAATAAACAATTGGAGAAGTACATGTCACCTGTAATAACCATTAACGGCTAGCCTAGACAGGTGACATTTATATTTATACACATGAATTACTTAGTTTTAAAGACAGTGAAGCTGATATAAACGGAGCAACATATTACAAACACAAACAAGAGTCATGTTGTGAGACAAAGCGAGTCTAAGTTAATCGGTATTATTGTAGATATTAATTAAATACTTCTTAAATTTGGATTTGAAGGAATATTTTTGTAGGGTTTTGAAGGATTCATCAAGAGAATTCCAGATTTTCGGACCTTGAAATCTAATGCCAAATTTACCATAATTTGTTCGAATTTTTGGAAGACAATATGAAGATTTAGAAGCCAAACGAGTGTTATATTGATGTTTACTACAAACAGGAGTAAACATTTCATCAAAAACTTTTGGAAGTGTTCCTTGATTATATTCATACATAAATAATGCGGTATTAAATAAAACAATATCAGGAACTTTTAAAATGTTTAGTTTAAAGAAAAGGGGGCTTGTATGTGCTTGGTAATTGGAAAAAGATATAACACGTATAGCTTTTTTCTGAAGAGTTATTAAAGGTTTAATAGTAGAGGTATAAGTATTGCCCCATATCATTACTCCATACGTCAAAAATGGATATATAATGGAGTAATAGATATTGACAAGAATACGAGTATCAACAAAATGTCTCAATTTTAGCAATATACCTATACTTCTTGAAATTTTTTTTGACACCTGATGAACATGATCTTTCCAACTTAGACTCCAGTCCATCATAACTCCTAGATACTTAAAACTGATCTCTTGCTTTATTGATTTTTGATTAATTTTAAGTTCCATGGAAAAATTAACTTTTTTTTGAGGAGGATGGAAAACTACAAAATTAGACTTTTCAACATTTAATGACAATTTATTAGCACATAGCCATTGGTGAATATCATAGAGATATTTATTCAGTGAAGTTTCGAGAATATGTAGGTTTTTATGTGCAAGAAAAAGATTAGAGTCATCGGCAAAGAGATGGAAATCCAGTGATTTGGCCGAATTACAGAAATCATTAATATAAATGAGAAATAACAAAGGCCCCAGTACTGAACCTTGAGGAACGCCAGTGCATACTTCTTCTAATTCAGAAGAAGCACTGCCTACTGAGACAAACTGTTTTCTATTATCCAGGTAAGATCGAAACCACTCCTTTACAACACCCCTTATTCCATAATGTTCAAGTTTTTGTAATAAAATATAATGGTTTACAGTATCAAAAGCCTTGCTTAGGTTAAGAAAAATACCGCAACTATAGAGTTTATTTTCAATAGATTTTTGTATTTTGTCAGTAATCTGTAAAATTGCTTGAGTTGTAGAATGATTAGAACGAAAACCAAATTGATTTTCAAAGAGTATGTTATGTTTTTTGATAAAATTCATTAATCTACTTTACATTAATTTTTCTAAAATTTTATTGAAGATTGAGAGTAAAGATATTGGACGATAATTAGACATTTCAAGTCTTGATCCTTTCTTATATACAGGAATAACTTTAGCAATTTTTAGTTTGTCTGGCACAAGTCCTGAGGAAAAAGATATATTGAAAAGATGACTCAGAGGCTTCGAAATAAGGAGTTTAAGAATTTTTAATAATCTGATGGGGATACTATAAGGTCCAGTGGCTTTACTTGCATTGAGTCCATCAATTTCTCTTTCAATTTCATCTGGCGTTGTTGGAATAAGGAAAACACTTTGGCTTTGTTGTTCCCCTAGGTAATCATGTATAGAGCAGTTTACATTTGGAATTATTTCAGATAAATTTGGGCCAATACTAGCAAAATATTTATTAAATGAATTAGCAATATTTATGGGATCTGTTATTTTGGAATTATTTATTGTTATTTTATTGGGGAAATTAGATTTAGATTGCTTTAAAGTAACCAATTGTTTTATGCCGAACCAAGTCCCTTTAATATTTTTGCTATTATTCAAAAAATAATTATTATAGTAAGATTTTTTGCTAATTAAGAGGAGATGTTTTATTTTATTACGATAATATTTAAATTTAGAATGATAATATTTGTTTCTAGTTTTTATATAAGATTTATACAATTTATTCTTAATGGTAATAGATGCTCGAAGACCATTAGTTATCCAGGGTTTGGCTAAAGTTTTAGCTTGTTTATTAGATAATTTTATTATTGGAGCATGTTTATCAATGATAGTTGAAATTTGTAAATAGAAAGAATTAAATATTTCATTAGCATCATTGCTAGAAGGTAATATCTCATCCCAATTGACAGACTGGGTCTCATTGATAAGATCCTGTTCATTCAGTTTGGAATAATCACGTCTATACCGATCCAATTTTGTCAAAACTCTTGATATCTTACTGATGATTAGAAAATTAGGGAGATGATCTGTTATATCATATATTATATTACCGCTAACCGTATAATGCTCAATTGAATTTAGAAAAACATTATCTATTAATGTTGCAGAGTGATCTGTTATTCTTGTTGGTTGAAGAATATGAGGTTGAATGCAATATGATCCCAAAGCATTTAGAAAATCATCTGTTGGTTGATGAGATCTATAGTTTAATAAGTTAATATTAAAATCACCCATTATTATACAAAACTTATGTTCTCTAGAAATTTTGTCCACCGTTGCAATCAGGTGGTCTGAAAAAGTATCAAGACTGCTATTTGGATGTCTATAGATAATACAGCATACAATATTGCTTTGTGATTTGCATTCAACTTCAATATATAACGTTTCATATTGTATTACAGTACTATTTAAATCATCTCTAATATGAAATTGTATATCATTTTTTATATAAAATCCTACACCTCCTGCATTGGTAAGACTAGGTTTAAATATAAAAGAAAAATTAGGAATTGAGATATTACTTATATTATCCTTATTAACATTAAATTTGATTTCTGAAAGGCCAACAATATCAAATTGGTACCGTACGTGTGACAAGTGACAAGTTAGATTATCAAAATTAGCTGCTAAACTTCTAATATTACAATTAAATGCAATACAGAAAGTGAATCTTTGGAAATTAGATTGCCTATTTCATGATTATTCACAAAATCGTCAATTGCATAATAATTAAAGTTAATCTGAGGCGTAATGTTCCTTTCAATATCAAAGTCCGATAGATTTGGGATATTGTTTAGATTTGAAGATATTTCAAGTCTAGGTAATGACGTTAAATAAGAACTATCACTTCTGTCACACATCGTTTAAATAAAAAGCAATAATGAATAATTTAATAGGGTCTCTTAAAGAACATCATTGTTACATCGAAGTACTTATCTTGTCGCAGAAACCACATTATGGTCGTAGATCTTCCAGATTCTTGAATGAAGATATTATTCTTACAGGGCTTGTCGAATCTTTTCGAAGATAAATATTCCCAGAGTTTGTCCATATGAACTTAAAAAGCCATTCACGCTTAAATTTGAGGCACTCGTTAAATAATTCTTTCTTTCTTTCTTCGACTGAGACTTTCCGATATGTAAATTTTGTTTTCTGCGAATCGAGATAATCCCAGGTCTCTTGGTTTTGTCTTTTTAGTTTTTACGGCTGTGATAAAATTGATCATTGATTTCTCTACGTACGAATTTGACTATAATCCTTGGAATATTGGACCTTCCAGGATTTAATGCATCTTTATTCTGGATTGCTTGACTATACATTTTGACAGGCAAGCGATGACTGACGGAAATATCTTCTCTTTTGATATTTAAACCAATAATTGAACCCAGTTCAACAACTAAATCACTTGTATCTTCATCAGTGGTCACAGGTACACCACTTACTTCAATACATTCGCGTCTAGAATATTGTTCGAAATTGTCAATGTCTTCTTTAAGCCTAGTTCTCATTCATCGCAAACTGTCACCGACGATCGGCGACGCTTATCGCCGATACTCGCCGAGCGCGAATGCACGAAAGTTCTCATACAGCGGTGATCGTCGCAGATGACAGCCAATGTGTTTCGAAATTTCCCACCAAGGCACAAAATTTCCCCATTCAACGTAAAGTTCATGATTTCTGTCAAACTTCAGTTGATTATTTCCTTGCTTGTTGAGGAAAAAACAACTTTTACTCATTTCTCATAGATTTTTCAAGCATATGGCAGTCGGCGATGGTCGCAAGAAACAAACTTTTTTGTTTCCTGCGATGTCATCGCCGATGGTCGGCGACGATTACGGACAATCGGCGATATAATTTTTGATGCGTTCTCATAAATCGCAAGCCGATAGTTTACGATGAATGAGAACTAGGCTTTAACAGAGTTTAAGCTGTTCGATAGTCGAAAAACTTCATCCTTTAGAAATTTTTTGTTTTTCTTGGTTCACCTTCATATACTTTCCTTCCAGGTCTTCAACTTTTGTTGAAATTTCATCAAATTTATCACTTATTACAGATACTGATTAAACAAGACCTTCTACAGTTGTAGCACATTGATCAGGTTTCATCGCAATTGGCAGAAGTTTGCGGTCAGAAACCTCCTCTATAGCCGATAAAGAAATCTGATTTTCGTTTTTACTCATCTTGTCGCGTCACACATACAGAATACAAAATTGACAAATTATACAAAATTCAAACAAAATTTAAGCAAAATTTAGCAAAATTAAGCAAAATTTTGTGGAGCACAAATAAACCGCCATCTTGCTTCACTTACCTCTTCACTTACCTCGTTTTACGGAAATTTTATGGATATTCTAGAATCCCATAACTGCAACACACAAATAACAGACTTGGAATCAATCACGATTCAAGTTTTATCAATGACAACATAAAGCAAAAATATCTTACTTTTTGGAAACACAATCCCGAAACCTCCTCCAAACTAAAGTTCAATTTACAACACGTTCAAAACAGAATACCAACTAGAATAATATCTTTTAACAATGAAAAATCCAGTCAATTAGATTTTGAGTGAGCAACCACAATTTAACGATAGAGTTAGATCGCTATCAAAAAATACCAAGGGAAGAACGACTGTGTTAAATCTGCCAGTCAAGGGGAAGTGGAAGATGAACACCAGTTTGCCAATTCGTGTAAAGCCTGTACATCAACCAAAGAGAGAACTTTTACACCACTCAAAGAAACAAATTTACCATTGTCACAGAACAGACCTAATTATCAATCTCGTTCCCCGAGCCTGCGATCGTCGGGAAAGAACGTGAGGCTCTGGAATAATCCGTTTCGGGGAGGAATCTCATTGGCCGTTGAAAAGGAATGCGTACTTCAATCTTAGCCAGGATCTCTGGCTTCCGGTAACGGATTATTCCAGAGCCTCACGTTCCTTCCCGAGGATCGCAGGCTCTGGGAACGAGATTGACACAATTAGTAGATATAATGAAATCTATGATTATTTTATCGCTGTCGAAATATATTTCTTCCTGTTTTATGGAAAGAAATAGATGCCTTGAAATTGGGATTGCTGTCAACTAATTAAAGTACTATTTCTCTAATCTGAGAAGGTTGACTGAAAACGTTTCCTATACTTTGTAAATAGATCTTCTTACTTGGTATTTGTTATTTGTTATTGGGATCGACTATGGTTATTGTAATATATATATATATATATATATATATATATATATATATGTATACTTTTTACCACTTGTTGAAATAACTTAGAATTTCTACCTTTTTTACTCTATATCAGACTATTTGCATTTAGACTATTATGCTTTAGCAATATCTGTAATTTAAGGTCATGCCAATAAAGCTATTATAAACTGAACTAAACTAATCACCCTTGCTTGTAGGAAGCATGACCGATGTGGGAGGATTTGGCTGCCCAAGGTGGCCAGGTTAAGATAAAACTCATACTAGGGTTAACCTTTTGAAAACCAGAGCATCTGGAGAAAACCCTCGAAGCACAGCAGAGAACTAACCACAACTCTACTTAAATGAGTTTTCAAATACATGAATTAAGTCAGACCAGGGTCGCCCATCAAGCAACGATACCCTGTCCTCATCCTTCAGTATAGCAGCCTTAAATAACTTACTTTTTTATACTTTTTATTCACATAATCAATTTGGATTCAATTTACCCTATGCGAATAAGTACTAAATATTATTTTATTCAGACAAGAAAAGAACGGATGATTCCAGCAGAATCATTATCACAGCGACAACAGTGGGTGCTGGCGTATTTCTTAGCATCGTGCTTATCGTCTTATTGGTAAAATACAAACGACGGAAGCGGGCTCCAAAATTATCAACTCCTGTCAATATTCCATTGGAGACGAATGAAACTTCACCAGAACCATTGCCAGATGATGAGGTAAATTATGGGCTCACTGAACCTCTAGAACTGATAGAGCTATCTAGTATAAGTAAAGTTACTTTAGTTTGTACTCGAACTTCGCTTTGATGTATAAAGAGAATAATGAAAAAAATTCTCGAACTCAAATTTTGAAAATCAGGGGGGTGTCTTTTCCAACAAACTAAAAATATATGGCTTGCGCACGAGATTTAAAAGTTTTAATCGTGTTTTGAGGTAATGGGTGGAAAATGTGTTGGGTGTTTAATTGCTGCACGAAATTTCAAACAATTTACTTCAGTTTAAGCCTTTAACTATTCACGCAAACTTACATTTTTTTCTAAAAAATCAGGCATGCTTAATTAGGTAAAGGCATTAATTAAGCATGCGAAAGGCTGATTTTTTAGGAGAAAATGAATAGGTATAAACAAAAGCAAATTGTCTGAACTTTTGTACAGTATTTAAAACCCCAACACATTTTCTATCCATTAACTCAAAATACGATTAAAGCTTTTAAATTTCGTGCGCAAGCCATTTTTAGTTCGTTGGAAAAGAAACACCCCCCTGGTTTACACAATTTGAGTTCGAGTATTTTTTTCATTATCCTACATTATGAAGGGTATTCAAGGAATCTATATATAACAAAAACCTGCTACCACGAGCTGTTTTGCGAATTTGAGAGCAATTTCAAGTCTGTTCAGTTTTTTTTATACATCCTGTATATGTATAATTTCAGGTCTACGTGAAATCTGAGGGTAAGATGAATCCAGTGTGGAGTCTTTCTGGAAACCAAGGTGTCGAAAGGCATCAAGCACCAGTGGCTGTGAACAATCAAACGGCGTCATACCAGGTGAGCATGTAGATCAGTGAGCACCAAATATAACTGAATCCAAAGATAACAGATGTAGGTGGTAAGGTGGGTAAAGAATTACTTGCTTGTTCAAGTGCTAATTATTTCTGAAGTTGATCTACCAGTTAACAGAAACGACCTCAATTTGCTACTTTTTGGCAGTTTGTAATCGAAGGTGTACGTGGTGGAAGTATCTATGGAGACATTGCAATTGATGATATCTCTCTCATGGATTCATGTCCAAGAGGTGAATCACTTGTGTACTAATAGCTATGTAGGCGGAAGAAGTACCATCAATCTTTTACAAAATAGAGTAGGAAAGCTGCATGGGGTCCTTCTTGCCACGTATGTATAGGTTATAACGCATTTTTATGATTTTAGAAAATCAACCTAGTAAACCGACTTCGATAGATAATAATGGAAGTTAAAAGGTGACAAGTTTCATTTGTCCTTTCCTCATGAATTATTAATAAGTTTTTTTAACAACGTTTACAGTTTCCACTACACCTGCAAGTTCACCATCTCAAACTAGCTCTCAAGGCAAGTGATGTTTTTGTTTGATTATTCATGTGATATATTGTACATATTAATGTGTACAGTTTTTATGTTGTTGTTTAGTAGTGTATGGTGAAGTTATGTATAGTGTTTGTGATGTGGCGTGTTTTGTGTAGTAAAAGGTTGGGGGGGGGATGCTAATCATCCTGGTTTGTAGGAAACACCTCAAACATGACCGATTTGGAAGGCTCAATTTGTGACAAAACAGAGTGGGAAACCTGGGGTCCTTCCTAGCTCATCCTTTGGTGCCATGTATAGGTTATAACATATTTTTACGATTTTAGAAAATCAACCTAGTAAACCAACGGTAAAGTCGACAAGTAAAAAGGTGACAACAACATTTTAGTTTCCATTACACCTGCAATTTCACCATCTCAAACTAGCTCTCAAGGCAAGTGATGTTTTTGTCTAATTAGGGGTGAGAGGGGGGGGGGGAGTGAGGAGGGATATGTTAATCATCCTTGATTGTAGGACGTATGACCGATGTGGGAGGCTCTGACTGCCTACGGTGGCCAGGTTAAAATAAAATGGTTAACTTTTTGAAAACCAGAGTATCTGAGGAAAGCCCTCGCAGCACAGCAGAGGACTAACTACAACTCTACTTAAATGAGTTTTCAAATACATTTATTAAGACAGATCAGGGTCGCCCATCAAGCAACAATACCTGGTCCTCAACCTTCACCAACAGGCTTAAATAACTTAATTTTGTATACTTTTTATTCACATAATCAATTTGGATTCAATTTACCCTTTCAGACAAGGGAACAACGGACGGTTCCAGCAGAATCATTATCATAGCGACAACATTGGGCGCTGGCGTATTTCTTAGTATCGTGCTTATCGTCTTATTGATAAAATACAAACGTCGGAAGCGGGCTCCAAAATTATCATTTCTTGTGAATATTCCATTGGAGACGAATGAAATTTCACCAGAACCATTGCCAGTTGATGAGGTAAATTATTTATGGTCATGGTGTTAGTGACACAGTGAATGGTTATTATATATGGGCCTTTAGGAAGAACAGCTTCGAATAGATATCGCTATTCAGTTAATATAAAGCAAATTAGTTTAGTTTAGATTTCTTTCTGTAGTAACACTGGTTCAATAAGAGATGACTCTTACTGGACGTCTGGGAAGAACAGTTTGGACTGATAGAGTTATCCGATATAAATATTAGGTTTCCTCCTGTAGTAACACTGGACGAATAACAGTTGGGCCTCACTGATTGACACTGAACCTCTAGAACTGTTAGAGCTATCTAGTATAAGTAAAGTTACTTTAGTTTGTACTCGAACTTCGTGGGTTTTTCTGTCTCCAGTTTTTCTCCTCCATAAAAAACCAACTCTTGGAAATTAGTTGTCAAGCACGTGCATGTATCGTGTGCTTCTGGCTCGGGTTGAATTGGGCAACCACACCCTGTGTGTAATCGTCATTAAATAAATCATAATCCTTCTTATAAAAAACAGAAGCCATTTTACGAAATTGTCGCAGAGTTGTACGATGACGTCGGCACAAGTGGAAACGAATCTGGACACACATCAGCTGACGGTCAATAGATATTTAATATCCAATCTGCGGTAATATCAGTGTTTAAGAGGCAGTCCGTGTAAAAACCGACCACTCGAATTTTTTAAGATTACAGATTTCCTTCAAACTTTCTGTGTGGAAGAAGTCATTCATAAAATGAACAAAAAACGTTGGCTTTGAAATTGTAGTCAGTTTAAAATTTTTTTCGCAATTATTTTCGGACGCGTTCGAAAACAAGTTAAAACGTTAATTACGCAAGTGATATTTGAGCTTTTTTATATCTCACAGTTCATCTCGCGCTTTTATTCTAACTTCTTGAAACTTACATATTTTATTATTTCCTGCCTAGGCATAAACCTAAACTAAAGAGTATGCAATCTCGTTCCCCGAGCCTGCGATCCTCGGGAAGGAACGCGAGGCTCTGGGATAATCCGTTTCAGGGAGGAATCTGATTGGCCGTTGAAATGGAATACGTATAGTTCAATCTTAGCCATAATTCCTGGCTTCCGGCAACGGATTATCCCAGAGCCTCACGTTCCTTCCCGAGGATCGCAGGCTCGGGGAACGAGATTGAAGATTATGCTGATCACTTGAAGCAAACAAAATATTGTGTATTTTTAAAAACGTCTTTCAGACAGCGGATTAAATATTCGTGTTAGTATGCTGGCGGTAAATTATTTTTTCTCAAAAGTGCAATGGTATCAGGTATCCAATCTATTGCAGCTACTGAGTATTATGACACATCTACTAGAATAAATAATAAAATCTTTGGGCAGTGTGTTTTTCACTTGACAAGCGCATCATGAATATAGTCAATTTTCGCTAATTCGACTAATTATAAGCTATAATTTGTTAATGCATTTACTTAAATTTTTCGCGTTAAAAACGTACAAAATTGTTCACTATCTTTCAAATATGGCTGGTTTTGGATAGAGACTAAGTTATAAATATGCCAGCATTTATGCTAGCTTTATAACATAGAGCAAAAGTCTTGACGCATGTGCCGACTGAAATTGACATGCACGCGTTGCTAATTTTATCCGCCGGTATTATCTTTTTATTATTTATCAGTGTATGAAAGCACTGTAAACATACTGATCTTGGTAACTAAAACTATATGCACCGATTTCCTCCGAATGTACACATCTATTACAAGAGAATATTAGAAGAAAGTATATTATACAATTTATTAGAGAGTAATGTTTTTCGCGTGAAAAGCGGTTCATATATAATCCCCATCATCGCTTGAAGTCGGTGAACGCGTAATTTCAAGTTTTTCTTCGCTTTCTTAACAGTATATTTATATCTTAAAGTCATTACAATCTTAACTCGTTGAATTGGAAGTAAAATCACCAAAGAAAAGTCAAGAAAGGGGCCCAAATATTTTCGGGTATTATAGACCACAGCTCCTCCAATATATGAATCCCGTTCGCCCATGAGTGTACTGATACATTTATATTGCTCTCATGTGCATAGAGAGACAAAGTACGAAATTGAATTGAATTTGAATTGAATTTGAATTGAATTTTATTTGATTTAGCACCACATTACATAAAAATTACAACACAACAAATATACAAAAAATTAGAAATTTAACATTTTGGTGACAAGGAAGCCCAAAACGAAACCACAAGGCTTATATATAAATTTAGGCTCCCTTTAAATGTACATCATATATATAAAAAACACAATTAGGCCTAATAAATTATGAAATGCAGACGTGCTTCAGCTTGCAGACTAATATCATTACATCATAATTATTAATAAATTGAACACAAATACTGTTTAAGTCTTTTCTTAAATAAAATAGAGGACACAATGTCAACCAGATCATGAGGAAGAGAGTTAAAAAATTTTGGACCTTGAAAGCGCACCGAAAATTGTCTGATATTTATCCTACATGAAGGTACATGATACTTGGAGGAGTTTCTTGTATTAAAAGTGTGAGTTTGATAATTTTTTAAAAACATGTCAAATCGTTCAGGTAAAAGAGAAGATTTATGATGAAACATAAATTGACCAAGTTGTAGCATACAAATATCATTCAGTTTTAATAAGCCAGGCTTCTTAAATATAGGGCTAGTATGTGCGTCGAATGCGCTTTTATTCAGTATTCTAATTACACGTTTCTGCAGTAATTCAATGCGACGAATATTAGTATGATACGTTAGTCCCCAAACAATAACACAATATGGTAGGTAAGGATAAATCATCGAATAGTACAATATACGTAGAGACTCTAGTGGCAGACAGAAACTAGCTTTATAAATTACACCAATAGATTTTGATATTTTGTTAGCAATATGGGAAAAATGCGATTTCCAACTCAGATTTTAATCCAGAATAACTCCCAAAAACACAGTTTCCTTGACTTGTTCAATACACTTATTATTAATAAATAGTTGTATATCCAGGCAGAATTTTTTTTTGTCTAGGTTTAAATACCATAAATTTCGTTTTTTCCGTATTAAGCGACAATTTATTTGCTTGAAACCAATCAGACAGTTTTTCCAATTCATTATTCAAAGAATCGATTACATATTGAGGGTCTTTATGTGAAAAAAAAATGTTTGTGTCATCAGCAAATAAAATTGTTTCAACTAATTGTGACACATTGCAAATATCATTAATATAAAGTAAAAAGAATAAAGGGCCAAGGATAGAACCCTGAGGCACCCCACAGCAAACAGCACTAGGAGATAAACGATGTTCATTAAATTGAACAAATTGGGTTCTATTGGTAAAATAACTTTTTATCCATTGCAATGGCAAGCCGCGAATTCCGTAATGTTCCAACTTATCAAATAAAATCTCATGATTGACAGTATCAAAGGCTTTAGATAAATCCAGAAAAATCCCCACAGAAGTTTCTTTTCTGTCAATCGCGTCTGAAATCTTGTCATATAAATCGATCAAAGCAAGTGGAGTTGAATGATATTTGCGAAATCCGTATTGATATCATATAATATCTTAAATTTATCGAGATATTCCAATAAACGATTATACATAGCCCTTTCAAGAAATTTTGAAAAACATGGAAGTATAGATACTGGTCTATAATTTGAGAATATTGCACGATCACCTGCTTTAAATAAGGGAATTACACATGCAATTTTTATATCATCAGGGACAATGCCACTAGCAATGGATAAGTTAAGTATATGAGAAAGTGGTTCTGCAATGATATTAATAAACCGTTTAATTATTGACATAGGAATTTTATCATAACCAGCAGTTTTATTTGATTGAAACGATTTAGCAATTTCAACAATTTCAGCGGAGGTTACACTATCAAGAAAAACGGACTCAGAATAACATCCAGAAAGAAACAAACGATGTGACTGAGAAGGGTTTATTTTCTTAGCAAGATTTGGGCCAATATTAGTGAAATAGTTGCAAAATTTATTGGCAATTAAAATTGGATCTGAGATCTCCGTGTTATCATTCGTTTTAAATAATGAACTTATGGTAGACTTTGATTTCTTTTTATTAATAACCTCAATGAGAACCTTCCAAGTAGATTTCATGTCAGATTTCATATTTTGCAATTTACTAGCATAGTATGATGATTTGGCAATCTTTATTGAATGATTCAGTTTATTCTTGTATCTTTTGTAATACGAATCGTTTTCAGGTGTAGGGTTACGTAAGTGACGTCTATATAACTTTTTTTCTTTTTATGGATTTTAAAATTCCTTTTGACAACCATGGTTTACTTGAAAAATGATGTTTTCTTTTTATATGCTTAACTGGAAAACACGTGTTGTATATTTTAGTAAATTCAGAATGGAAGGCCTTATATGACTGATTTGGATCATCAAAACCTTCAAGTTCTGACCAATTAACCCTGGACAATTGTTCACTAAACTTATTTAAGTTATACTCGTTTTTTTCTCGAATAGTGATTGTTTCATTTTCCTTATTTACTGTCTCATTATTTTCAAAGCAAATACAAAAAATTGGAAGATGATCCGAAATATCAGTAAACAACAAGCCACTTTTCATATTGCTATGCAATTGATTGGTAAATATATTATCAATTAGTGTAGCCGAATGAGAAGTTATTCTTCAGGGACGAAGTATCAAAGGAAAGATTGTGTTAGAGTACATTTGCTCCAAAAACTCGCCGGTCAGCGAGTGTTGCTGGAAGTTTAACAAGTTTAAATTAAAATCCCCCATTATGTAACAAGTCTTATTTTCCTTTGTAATTTTACTAAGCAATTCATTATAATTAGTCAAAAAACTGGTAACATCTTGGTTAGGAGGTCTATAAATTACCCCTACAATAATATTCTTACCGATAGAATTATTTATTTCAATAAATAAAGATTCCGCTATTTCTTCGTTTTCAAAACACAAATCACCACGGATTCTCGAATCATAATTTTCGGATAAATACAAACCAACACCCCCGCCAACTCTATTTAATCGATGTTTATGAAAAAAACTAAAACCATTTATATCCACTAAATGACTCGCATTTTGTAACCATGTTTCAGTAATACCAATGACAGAAAATTGTATATGTAAATTATGCAATAAATTTGTTAATTTATTTAAATTTCGATCCAAACTACGAATATTCAAATGAAAAATAGAAAATTGACTGGAACAATGAATTTCGTTTTGAATTAGCTTGTTGAATTGATCCTCTATTAAATAATCACAAAAATAGTTTAAATCACAATAGAAATGCGAATCAGGATCCGCATCATTGGCGAGGGTAAGGTGTTGATTTGCATTTGCAAATAAGGGATTATAACTCAAACTTGCCAAACTGTCTGTATTAAAATTAACTGGCCCAGTATTTAGCTCAAATATTTCTAAATTAAAGCTGTCATCATCTAAGCCGTGAAAAGGGAGGACCTCGCTGTATGATAGAGCCATTGTATTGAATAAAAATAGTAATATGAGAAATGAATATGTACTTAGCTCATAAATAGTTCGATTTAAATCGATCAAATTCTTTAATTGAGCTGAATGAGGTTGATCTAGCTTCATCATCTTCTTTCAAAAACGATTTACCATTCATAGTCCAGGCATATTTGAAATGATGTGCTCTTCTAAATTCTCTCACATTAAAGTATAACTCTTTGGCACGTGGAGTCAAACTTTCATTGATATATAACTTGTTTTCCGTATTGACACAACCGATGTCAGACGAGTTTCTAGATTTCAACTTTCTCTTGCTTTGATAAATAATTTCTTTAGTACGTCGCTTGGTAAATTTTGCAATAATGGGTGGAGTTGATCCTCTTCTAGATGGCAGACGATGGGAGATAGATATATCGTACGGATTAATTTCGACTCCGACTAAGTTGGCGACACGCTTGACTAATTCATCCGTGTTTTCCGTTGAATTTTGTGGTATCCCGTGAAATTCAAGGCAGTCCCGTCGACTATATGAGTTGATGTTTTCTTGTTCTTCTTCAAGCTTCGACATTTTCGCATTAAGCTCATTGACTTCTCGTTTTAATTGAACATTTTCCGCTTTAATCTGGGTCATTTCTGCTAATATCTGATCGAATTTGTCGCTCATAAACTGTTGACTAGCTTGAATATCTTTTATGTCATTATGTAGTACTTCTTTTGATTTCGCGATAATTGCATTTAATTCCTTCGTATGTTCGTTCAATCGTTTATTTAGGATTTCTTCAAAAGACGACACATCAGGCATTAATAGAGATGAACTATTAACTTCGACGTTGGCCGCAGCTTGTGCCACGGCTGGTTTCTTCTTAGGAGGCATAAAGATTCAGATTGTTTTTAGACAAATGCAGAGCTCAAGAATGCACGTCCGCACTGTGTGGTCATGAGCGTATATCTTTCCAAATTGCACGAGAACCTATGCATGCTATTATAATATACATAAAAAAAATACACGGTGGAAGCTACCCATGGCAACTGGCCATGCTATGCTAATAAACCTGCAACCAAAATAGTTTAAAGACAATATATTTCTTTGAATAATACAACCTTTTCAGTCCAAGTGCTTCTTGTATTTAAATTGTTATATTTAGGTACGATTTCCAAGTGAAAGTGTACAAAAAGCACCAACTTCTCTCCGCCCTCCCCCACCCCCGCGCTCCACCTTTCAACTGAAGAGTTGCTCCCCCTCCAATTTCAACTTTCATCCGAGTTGACCAGAGTTGGCGCTCAAACGCGAGCGACAGTTGCAACCCTCATCAACTCTCATTCTTGTTTGACCGAGGCTTTAGCCATAAATCGCAAGTTAACATGAGTGTTTGATCAACCTCGTATGCCTTGGTCAAACGAGAACAAGAATGGCAGCCGAGAAGCCGCCGGAACGAAATTGAAATCATCTTTCTAAAGATGTAGCCTATAAATATATAGAAATCATCTTTCTAAAGATGTATAAGTACTATTTAAAACACGAGTAGGAGTGTTTTATCAGATATATAACGCGAGGCGCAGCCGAGCGTTATATATCTGGTAAAACACGACAACGAGTGTTTTGAATAGCTTAAAATACGACTACAAAAGGATACTAATTAGGATGAACCATAGTAAAATCATGCTAATTAAGATGAACAATTATATAATGCCACATGTGTTTTATCAGATATAAAGTCACTCCACGTGACATATTATGGCTGACATGATTTGCCACAAGGTTTATGAATTATTAATGAGTATTTTAAATATATAGAAATCATCTTTCTAAAGATGTATAAATATATAGAAATCATCTTTCTAAAGATGTATAAATATATAGAAATCATCTTTCTAAAGAACGAATCATAAACACCGAACTTTTCTATCATTAATACTTAGACCAAATATTATCATGCATGTCACATGGAGTTTCCAACAACTTTTTCATTTAGCTCAAAACAGTGCTTTCAATACCAAGCACAGGAGAATAGCGTGCAATTAACCATACTTCAGAATACATGGAAAATCCGCTTTGACAATGGCTGTACAACAAAATATAAATTTCTCAGCCATTGCACTTTTCCCTCGCAATATTCATGTCAGCATTCTTTTCCAGATTCATGATCCGAAATAGAGCATGCATATTTGCGACATAGTTTAACCAGCGTTTTCTTCTACAAGCTAGGAAGAGTTAGGAAAAGACAAATTGAAGAACCTGCAACATTGTAGCGAAAAGTGAAAATTTATTCCCAAATGTTTCATAAAACATTATTTATTATCATTAGCATATTATCATTATCATTATTATTATTATTATTATTATCTACATTTTACTCGGTTTTGCACCGGTTGCGCCATTATCGTTATCGTTATTATTATTATTATTTATCTACAACACAAGGCCGTGTTCACTAAGACACCAAATATTACTGTAACGTAATACATTGTCATTGACATAAATACGGGAAGTCCAAATTAGTTCTCTACTTCACTTCCTCTACTACTAACATTACTTTGAATATGATCATCCAGACTATTCCAGCTCACAGCTCCTCTGTAAGAAAACTTCTCTTGCTGAACTTGGTTTTGGGCTCATCTAACGAAAGATTTATATCGTTGCTACGCAAGTTATCATGCGGATTATCGTAGGTACAATAGAAAGTACACATCCATTGAACTACTTAAATATTTACAGCCATTGAACTACTTCTAAATTGCTACATAAGTGGCTATGTCTACGACATTGTGCAGTTACAATTTCTATACATCATATCTTCAGAATTCATGCTATTCAGTTTAATAAGAAACGAGATAGCTCCACCAATGAGAGAAATGAGCGATAAATTCAGTTGCAATGAATATCCTCGCGACGCCAACCCGGGCGTCCTTCGTTTTAAAAACCGCAGAAAATTTCAACTCTTCGCCTCGAGACGCGAATGTATATTCGGAAAGCGTCGGAGCGCTGTCGGAACCTTCCGCAGAGGTTGAGCCGATAGAATATTGGGAAGCGGTTTGGCGAGGGTTGAGGGTTAAGTTTAACTCGTTATTTTTTGAAGCGAGCAAAGGTTCGGAATCACTAACGGTATCGTCAAGGGAGTCGATCTCTTGTTCGCCATGAGAATGCGTGTCTTGTTCGCCATGGGATTGCGTCCCAGATCTGACAGAATGCATCTCACCAAGAGAATGACTCTCAGCTTCCAGTAACCGAGGGGAGATATCATTATTATTCGAAGCGATCAGAGGTATTGTGTCACCTTCGGTGTCGCCAAAGGAGTCTTCTTCGCCAAGGGAGTCGATATGTTGTTCACCATGGGAATGCGTCCCAGATCTGACAGAATGCACCTCATCAAGAGAATGACTCTCAGCTTCCAGTAACCAAGGAGAGATATCGTTGATTCGCTCCATAAATTTTCTTTCTCGTCGCTTTATTAGCTCACCCACAACGGTAGGCGCAAGCCAGATGGTCACGATAAATATCAAGTAACAAATAAACTGTGGAAGATGTTTCGAGTGGTATGCACGACCGGAAACGGCCTGAGCCAGCTCATAGCCGTACAGCGGTATCGCGAGTGTTACGATGTTATGCGCGAGGAACCACCACGAGATTCGTTTCCAGGAATTTTTCACCGGCCGGCCGTACAACTGTACGAAAAACGAGACGGCATCGACTGACGATTGCTTCCATTTGAGGAAAATATTTTCCATGATTTTCAAGCGAGCTGCATAACTACAATACAGCAGTGATAAAGTCCAGAATAATGCAAGTCCCACACCGAGGTTATAAACAATTGAGAATGGTATAGAACAATACAAAATATGATCGAGTGGACCACGTATATGGGGCATTTCAGCTGAAAATCGCTCAGCACCTTGTTTCCACAGTATATGTGTCACTATAAATAGCGTGCAAAGCATTATGGTGAAAGACGTCATTAACATTATGACAGCAGCATTTAGGATTTTGAGCCTGCGATTCAAAGGTTTTGTGATTCCGTTCAGCGGTTTCAAGGGCGTTAGTACATTCGTTTCCAGGTCCCTGGAAGCGAAGTAGCGGTTACCAAGGATATGGCCTAACCATATAACTATCTCATGAACGATATATAGCAGTTCGATATTCAGCCATGTAGATTTCTCTGTGGCTCGTATTGAATTACGTATAGGTCCTAAAGTTAATAGCATGAGGTTTATGAATACAGGATAGACGTACTTTTCCGAGAAGCACGCTGACTGCGGTCGCCATAGTGACAGCAAGCGCAGGAGGTTGCGGATCACTCGGAAATCCTTGGAAGTAAAGACCAGGGTATCGGTGTTACGATCAGGTTCCTGGATGTGTGCTGTGTCCATACTCGTCGAATGAATATTCCTGGTTCATGCAAGTCGGTGTTTTTTTTTACTTCTGAAATACAAAGGAACAAAGAATGTTGAGCGTGGATAGTGATAAACAGTACAGGATCAAAATGAAAACCTGGCAACTGAAAGGCCACCGTGTTCTTCGGCCGTATACCAATGGATTCGTCTCACTTTTCTTTTTATTTTGATAGATTCGCTTATGCAAAATACGGGCATTCAATTAAGTGCCGATGTTATTTAGATAGTATATTCATTACACAGCGACTGTGTAAGGTGCTACACCACAGAATATCTGGCTACAATCAGTACACTGAAACCACAGATTCACAGAAGCCTGTAATACCACAGATGAGGTAGATACAGATGTGAATCTTCCGTCAAATTGCTGATTGTTTTGTGTCACACGGAATTCTCACTTCCGGCGAGCGCTGGCAAGTGTCGTTCTGAAATTTAATAAGGAAAGAGATAGGAAAACGCCGTTCGAAAGACGAAAAATTGTTTTTTTTAAAAATATACGCTACCGACGGCTATTTTTGGAATTAATTCTTCAAGAGTATCGGTAAGCGATCACTTTTATTGATTTCTTTTTATTAAAAGTGTTAACATAACATTTTATTTAGCAAAAGTTTGTTTTTTTCCCTATCTATTCCTTATTAAAATCGTGAAATACACTTGCTGGGAATTTCAGATGCTCATGTATAATAACAAAACAGCGAATGATATAAATTCCTCAAAACATAACTCTGGCATAAAAAAACACATGAATACTTCTATAATATGTATAGTTTTATTTCTCTGCATTATCACAATTTAATAAAATAGTGAATTAATACAATTTTAAAGTTTATTTAATCGGTGTGACATAATTTGCCGTGAGATTCACATCTGTATCTACCTCATCTGTGGTAATACTCTGTGCTGAATAGATGATTCCAGGTATAGACACAGCTAGAAAAATCGTGCTAAAATTAGTAAAAGTGCAAAGTTTGGTTGCGAAATGGTGTAAAATGAGGAAAATATAGCCTCACGAAATTTGCAAATTTTGTATTAATTTGTATTACGCACGGGAAAATGCACGACATTTGGGCCGAGAGTGGTACATTTTCCCGTAATTTGCAAATTTACAAATTTCGCAGCGCTATATAATAAATACATCGGTATATAATATCGGTATATAATATTTGACAAATATAAAACATTTCCGTGTTGATATACAGTTATATCAACACGAGTGGAAATTGGGAAAACGAGAAATTGTGTGGAAGCACGACGCCCGAAGGGCGGAGTGTTTTCACACAATTTCGAGTTTTCCCAATTTCCACTCGTGTTGATATAACTGTATATCAATACGGAAAAAATGTTTTATATTTGTTTTATAATATAGCACAAAGAAACATAAAGAAAGAAATTTTCCCACGTTTCCGTGTTGACATTGAGTTATATCAACACGGCTCTTAGCCAATCAGCGTTCAGAATTTACAAATGCTATATTATAATTGACAAATATAAAACGTTTTCCGTGTTGATACACAGTTATATCAACACGAGTGGAAATTGGGAAAACGAGAAAGTGTGTGGAAACACGACGCCCGGAGGGCGGTGTGTTTTCACACAATTTCGAGTTTTCCCAATTTCCACGAATAATATAGCACAAAGAAATTTTCCGTGTTGACATTGCGTTATGCCAACACGGCTCTTCAATCCCAATCAGCGGCTCGCCAATCAGCGTTCAGAATTTACAAATGCTAAATTATAAATACAATCATCACTTATTTAGTTTATGTAGTTTTGTATAAGTCTTTACATATTTTGCCTGTCATATAAGGCACGGATCTTTTATCTATACATTATTTGCCAAGTAAACACTGTGATAGGTACTGTTTAACTTTAGTAATAGTAGTACAAACTTTGTAAGTTCTTTGGAATAATAATACGACTATTAACATAATAAACGAAATCCAACTCGAACCCCCACTAACTCATTTTAAACGCCGATTTACAGAATACAACTTTTGCCTAAAACTGTCGCATGCAACTTGCTCACAAGCTGAGTTGTACTGCATGTGTAAATCTCACCTACGTTGTTATAATTTACACAGTACAACTGAAGTTGTAAGCAGGTTGCATGCGACAGTTTCAGGCAAAAGTTGTATAGTCTAAATCGGCGCTAATACCACGAAGCTCGATTTGTTTGTGTACATAACATAACTGATGATATGAAACGACGCTTAACTATACTCCTGTATTAAGCCTGTTTCCATATCGTCGTATAACGGTCGTAAAGATATAGGGTCACGATCTTTCTCAACGGCCAGATTATAATAGTTTTTTTACCTGTAAACAACATATGAATAATAAGTATTCTCTATTTATAATCACTCTGCCTATTTTCAGGTTTAAAATGTTGCATTTCGGCTGTTGAGAAAGATCGTGACTCAATCTTTACGACTGTTATAACCATATGGAAACCAAGCTTAAGAAAGATTTCGAAACACGGACTCTTCTAAACTCTATAAACTCTTAACCCAAGACATCTTCAGACTAACAGTAAAATTACAATGTCAATGTGATTGTAATTTTGCCGTTTATCTGAAGAAGTATTGGCCAGTATTGAATTAAGACAAAACATCACAATCAATAAAACTATATATATATATATATATTCATCATAAGAGTACGCTTCGCTATAGCACAGTGAGTCAGGGCAGCTGCCTTTCATCTCTGAGACGGTCAGTCTGATTGTCGCCGCAGACTTGTGCATGTGAAAAAAGTCCGAGAATTCCTGTTTACTCCGGGAATTTCTTTTTTTTTTTCACAGGAATGTTTGCAGAGTGGGTTGGGTAATTTTCAAATTGATCCTACCATCGTAACAATAAAAACGGGACGCTTATCAATATTACACATTAAACACTCGAAACGTCCAAACTTTGAAAGCTAAAATTTTATTTTCAACCATAACGCAACTCACCTATACTAAAACAGCAGAAAATGTTGTAGAAAATTATGCAGAAATCTTCGATATTAGATGATAAGTTTACTCGTAGAAAGCGAAAAGCTAGGTTTTATTTACACTGCGATATTCGTCTAATTTCGCTACGCTGTCATATTCCCCATTTACGGTATTTTCCCTTGCTGCATGCCGTGAGAAATTTACATATTTAGAATGGCCTCATCATCAACATGCATGCACCCGTGAGTTTCAAACACTATTTTTTTCAAACAGTATTTTCAAACACAATTCGGGGTCTTTGAAAAACTCATGAGCGTATATATTTCCAAACTGCACGAGAACCCATGCACGCATGGCATGCAGCACGCTATTATAATAATTACACCATGGCAACAGGTAATGCTATATGCTAATGAACCTGCATCCAAAATAGTTTAAAGACAATTGATTTCTATGTAGGTTTGAATAAAATAAATATTTATAAATTTGCACAGCATCACCAGTTGCTATCGTTAGCTTCAGCTGACCGCGTTTCGTAGGTTGACCCAGTAATAATCCTCGCTGCCGGCTTTTGCAACTTAAAAGCCTATCAAGGTTACAGCAGTTCCCATCGTTCCACAAGGTGGTATAATAAAAAGGACACATCCATTGAACTACTTAAATATTTACAGCCATTGAACTGCTTCAAAATTACGACATTGTACAGTTACAATTTCTATACACGATATCTTCAGAATTCATGCTATTCAGTTTAATGAGAAACGAGATAGCTCCACCAATGAGAGAAATGAGCGATAAATTCAGTTGCAATGAATATCCTCGCGACACCAACCCGGGCGTCCTTCGTTTTAAAAACCGCAGAAAATTTCTCAACTCTTTGCCTCGAGACGCGAATGTATACTCGGAAAGCGTCGGAGCGATGTCGGAACCTTCCATAGAGGTTGAGCCGATAGAATATTGGGAAGCGGTTTGGCGAGGGTTGAGGGTTAAGTTTAAGTCATTATTTTTTGAAGAGAGCAAAGGTTCGGAGTCGCTTACGGTGTCGCCAAGGGAGTCGATCTCTTGTTCACCTTGGGATTGCGTCCCAGATCTGACAGAATGCACCTCACCAAGAGAATGACTTTCAGTTTCCAGTGACCAAGGGGAGATATCGTTGATTCGCTCCATAAATTTTCTTTCTCGTCGCTTTATTAGCTCACCCACAACGGTAGGCGCAAGCCAGATGGTCACGATAAATATCAAGTAACAAATAAACTGCGGCAGATGTTTCGAGTGGTATGCACGACCGGAAACAGCCTGAGCCAGCTCGTAGCCGTACAGCGGTATCGCGAGTGTTACGATGTTATGCGCGAGGAACCACCACGAGATTCGTTTCCAGGAATTTTTCACCGGCCGCGCGTACAACTGAACGAAAAACGAGACGGCATCGCCTGACGAGTGCTTCCATTTGAGGAAAATATTTTCCATGATTTTCAAGCGAGCTTCGTAACAACAATACAGCAGTGATAAAGTCCAGAATAAAGCAAGTCCCACACCGAGGTTATAAACAATTGCAATTAGTACAAACCCATATAATATATTATCTACTGGACCATGTACATGGGGAAACTGGGATGACAATTGGCCCCACAGTATATGTGTCACTATAAATAGCGTGCAAAGCATTATGGAGAAAAGCGTCATTGATATGATGACAGCAGCATATAGGATCTTGAGCCTGCGATTTAAATGTTTAGCAATTCCTGTCAGCGGTTTCACTGGCCTGAGGACATTCGTTTCCAGGTCCCTGGAAGCGAAGTAGCGGTTACCAAGGATATGGCCTAACCATATAACTATCTCATGGATGATTAAAATCAGTTCGATATTTAGCCATGGCGATTTCTCTGACTTTGTGGCTAGTATTGAATTACGTATAGATCCAGTGGTCAATAGTAGGAGGCTTACGAACACAGGATAGACGTACTTTTCCAAGAAGCACGCTGACCGCGGTCGCCATAGTGACAGGCGCAGGAGGATGCGGATCACTCGGAAGCCCTTGGAACTA